CTGCGGCCTGTGCAGTGGGGTGCTTCTACACATTCGGGGTGGGACAGCTATCGCCAGGAGACAGTTGGTCATTGTAGCTTCTCGAGCTTGCCAGTTGAGTTACCAATATCTGGACGGCTATATGCATAGGTTGACGAAAGTGCCTCCAAAGTTGTTCATGCGGGGACTTCGGGAAGGACAAAGGGGTTGGGTTGGGTGAGCGACGCGCTGACATCGGCCCACTTTTGCGCGTTCTGGGGCATCGTCGGACTATGCCTAGTTGGGCTAGCGGATGAATCACATTAATCACTGCCGACGCGCGCGAAGTTGCATCAAATCGTCGCTTCAACACCAGTTTGGTAGCCCCACAGTCATCATCTTCAATTTCCCACTCCATTATTGTGAGCGCTACGTACTACTGCGACCATCCCGAACAATGATCTGCGAGATCTTCTCTGCTAATGCATAGATGGTGCTTTGAGGATGGCCAGGCGGCAGGAAGGGAAAAATACTGGCGTCCACAACACGAAGCCCATCTACCCCGAAAACCTTGGCCTCGGAGTCGACAACGTCCATCTCATCGACCCGCTCGCGAACACCATCTCTGAGTACGCTCTTGCCCATTCGGCAGGTCGAAGAGGCGTGCCATACTGTGATCGCGCTGTCTCGGATGACTGCAAGAATCTGTTCGTCGCTGTCCTTGTCGAGGCCTGGGTACGCTTCACTACCCATGTATTCCAGTTGTGCTGCGACGTCTTTTGTCGCAAAGACTTCGCGCATCCTACGGTACCAGGCGATAGCGAGCTCTTGGTCAGCTGGATCCGACAGCCAGTTTGGGTTAATGGCCGGCGCAGCGAGTGGATTTGCCGATTTGAGTGTAATGTTGCCTCGCGACAGCGGTGCTACCATGGCTCCAAGGATACTGACATACTTCTTGCCGTTAAGGGGCTGTTGCGCCAGGGGATAACGGAAATTCCCTGCGTACGCGTCCGCAGCGATATATTCCACCTCGGGCCAGTCGTCAGGAAAAGTTTCCAGGGCATCCAGTGTGCTTTGGCTGAGTTTGTCGCGAATTCCTTCCACCTTCGACAGTTTTTCCCAGCCCAATATGTCGGCCGCATAGGTGAGTAAACCCTTGGCTTTGGTCGTGTACTCAACAAGCGCATTGACCAATTCCAGAGGTCTGAGAAGGATGGAACCTACAGTCTTGAACTTGACGGAGTATGAAGGACCAAAGAGAACGTGATCCCACATGTTCTGACCAACACCTGGGGCTGAAACGATCTGGTCGATACCATGCTCTGAAAGCTGATCAGTCGGACCAACGCCCGAGAGCATGAGTAGTTGAGGAGACTGAAGCGTTCCAGCACTCACTATCACCTCGCGACGAGCCTTTATGGTATACTTTGCCAGTCCAACAAGGGCTGACACCTCAACTCCGTTTGCTTTAGGCCTGGCAGAAGATTTGTCGAACAAAATTCGCCGCGCTTGAGTAAGGGTAAACACCTTGAGATTGCGTGAGGCCTCAGAATTGGCTTGTACGGCGTGTATATAAGCAACCGACGAGCTCCGCGTCTGATCGCGGGACCGAATGGTACTCTGCGACCATTGGTACCCGAGCAACTTTCCGTTGTTGAAGTCAGTGTTCTCCTGGATACCGAAGGCCTTGAAAGCCTTCTCGAGGTATGATGCCCAGATCGATATCCAGTTTCCGTAGCCAACCTGCACAGGTCCACCGCTGTTTGAAAAGCTGGATGCATCGTAAGTGGTCGTGATGTTGTCAAGCGACCGCTCTCCGGGGGCAGTGAAGGTCACTGCTTTGTTAAAGAATGGGGTAAGGTTTGCCATGGTATAGCTCTGGTCATCAACGGCATCCGCCCACATCTGGTAGCTTGCCGTGGTCCCGCGGTGGTAAACCATGAAGTTCAAAGCACTGCTTCCACCCAAGCATTTGCCGCGAGCATAGTGGATCCGGCGATTGTTCAGTTGCGGCTGTGGCTCCGTGGCGAAACCCCAGTCTGTCGTCGGTACCATGTCGGCGAGGCTCGCTCCGACTCCAAAGAAGGATCCTGCGGGTGTGGTGCCCAAGACCGGCTTCGCGATCTCGTAAAAGCCTCCAGCTTCGATTATAGCAACGCTGAAGCCTGCCTCGGCTAGTCTTACGCCAACCCCAGCACCTGCCGTCCCTCCTCCAACAACGACATAGTCGAAGGTTTGCTCGCCGCCTAGTATTCCGCCGATAGCACCAAGTGTACCATCAATCAGTCCATCTCCCTGAAGAGTTGATCCAATGGTTTCGAGAATGGGGTCGAGAATGGGGTTGCCGGTTTGTGCGAGTGTTGATGCGACAAGGGAAAACAAGGCTGCTCGCCGTGTAAGAAGTCGGGAAAGCGGCGCCATGGTAGTGGAATGAAAGAACCCCTCCGCGGACACAATGGTCTATGGGGGAACCAGTTATTAACATTTTACCCACATTTGACGTGCGCCATCTGCGTTCTCTAGTCGTTCGGCCGTGCATGAAACTTAATTTTCACTGTCGACTAGGCAAAGCGAGGTGTTGTACGGTCACCCTCGGCGCTGTGGGCAGCGAGTCACGCTGATTTCCCCCTGGACCCATGTGCGAATCAGGGCCGTCCCTAGCGCGTGCTTTATTCTAGCAAGCGCCATACAACCAGAGGCCGGCTCCATGTCTATCGCATGGAGAAATACACGCCTATGAAGGAGATTTGTTCATGGGAACATTGGACAGATTTGCAGCGAATGTGTCAAACGACTCTCGACGATGCCGTCTGTTATCGCCAAGCGCGCATTCTGCTCGCGAATCTGGGTGGCAAGATCGACCCCTAGGCTCTGGCACGTGTGCGTCCCGAGGTCCTTGATGATCGATTTTCGTCGATCTTTCTACAGAGTTGCCTTAGTCGGCAGTGCTAAGACGCCGTCCACTTCTAAAGCTAGAACTACCTCTTCGGCCCACTTGCAAGTTGAACGAACCGAATCAGACACTTTGTCGGCCCGCCTTCAAGGTTTTGCGCATCATCGACCATCACCCGAACCATGCCTAATTAGTTCAGGGGACAAATTGCATTGTTCACCTCAGCCTTGGGGAAAGTCGCTAATCGCGATCATACCGTAAGGACTACCTCAATAATCAGCCCGAACTAGGACCAGTCCGCAGTCAAAGTCAAAAGCGCAATTATCTGACACAAGGGCAAATCCGAACAGGTCGCGGACTACAGTAACGTACAGACATGCAAAGTAGGCGACCTAACGTTGATGTAAGGTGTTCTGTTTTTTTTCAGTTTGACATGCAATCTATTATTTCTCAACTTTCGCCAACGCATTTCTACTCAATATGACTTCTTACATCCCCCATCTTCTCCGCCTTCCAACGCAGAGTCGGAATAGCCATCGCCAATCTAAGCGACGCGAGCATTAACAGGAATAACAGCATGCCCACTCCTCGGAACTTCGCCCTCACCATACACAACCTGCTGGTTCGGCTTCTCGATAGTCTGATGAACCTTCATAGCTACAATCACATCGCACATTAGCCTCAAATCGTTTCATCCATTTTCATGCGACAACAACTTACTCAGACCATCGCGCTGGGGCTCCAGCGTGAAAGTGTCGGGTGTGCACTGGACGTTGTAGACAATGCCCTTCTCGACCCAGGTGCACTTTGACTCGAGACCATCGGGGTATTCCTCGTCGACGTAGACGGCGGTGATGGCGAAGGATACGACTTGTTGGCTGACGTCCTTGTAAGAGCGAGTTACGTTCCAGGCGGCTTGGATGGGGTTGCTGGCGCTGACGGCGGCCGCAAGGGCGAGTGTGATGGCGGGGAGGGTGCAGTGCATGATGGCGGTTGGAGATGAATTTTTCGGTTTATTGGTTGGGGTTGGGTGAGTTGGTTCGGACTTGAGATGACAGCGTGGGTGGATGGCAATGTAGTGAGGATGCTGTGGTTATATATTCCAACACCTCGTATTCCGACGTCAGAAGTATCCACGTTACTTCGTAACCTCAACGTCGAGGTCGGTGGTATGTGCGTTGTGTTGACTAACGGGCTGGCGATACGAAGATTTGATGGGATGGGTACATGGGTACCTTTGTCAAGAGACGGTGAGGGTGCGCGTTCATACTTGGCACCTGGAAGATGGCGGTCTGGTCGATTAGTTCATTGGAAGCAATGGACAATGTTAATCAAGCCTTCGGTGAACACCCCAGAGCCTGATGCACAGCTGCAACAGATCTCTTGATGACTGGCATTATCGGAGCATTTCAACAAAGCAAGCGACGCCATCATCACTGCTAAGCATTCGCGGAAGATACGGGTGCTGCGGGGACCTGCAGGGAGCGTTATTCCCCTCATACACATATGGCAAAGCGCGAAACATATCTGCTCATTGGATTAGTGATCAGGCCCAGGTTTGGTCCTTTAAATACGACTTCTTATAGCAGCCGGCCCGATAGAACGACTGATTACTCCAGTGAGTCTCTACTAATAGTGGTCGGTTCACGGCTCCGACAACGTTCCGGGTGCCGTATCCCGACCCACATACACGCGCCACTTCCACTACGCCACATACAAGAGACACACTGAAGTGGGCCGTCAACGGTATGCTTCTAGCTTTCCAGGTTGATCCGAAGACCGGGGGCGTAGGCCGTTCTATTCATTGCTAGGGTTGTGCATCTAGATCACTTACCGAGAGGCGGTAGGGCGAGGCGGTGAAGTATATGTACTTCCTCATCTTCCGCAAGCTCCGATGAACTGCACCATGGTTTATGAAGATGAGATGCTGCCCGCGTATAAGAAATATTGTCTGCTCTCATTTCTAAACATAGTATCTACACGAATAAGTCTACATAGCAATAGCCACAAGAAGAACAAACACAAATGGACTTCCCCCCATGCACCGCCAGTTCAGCCACCTACCTAAAGACTCAGCTCCCACAAGCTCTCCTCATCGCCTTTGCCGCTACCACTTCCAGCACTAGAGACCATAGTCATCTCCGGCTCTTTAGTCGTTAAAGTCGAAGTCGGAGTTGGTTTGACGACCGTCGGGGCAGGCCAGTTGAAGCCTGAAGACCAAGCTCTGGTGGAAGTAGTCATCGATGTAGTACTCGAAAGAGTAGAGGAGGTAGAAGCCGATGCCGTGCTCGAACGAGGAGGCCAATTGAACCCGGAAGACCAAGCCTTGGACGAAGTGGTAGCCGTAGACGAGGTGGAAGCCAGCGCAGTGCTCGAAGGCTTCGGCCAATTGAACCCAGAACTCCAAGCACTAGAGCTCGTTCCATACCACATCTCACCCACATCGACAGACATCTCCCGTGCTCCCCTCGCCTCAACCTTCTGCCCCTCCTTCTCAGGCCCCACGTAATCCATCTGGTAATCGCGCTGCGCACCAGCTTCATCCGCACCTAGCAGCGCCGCCGAGTACGCCAGATACCACGTACGACTCGCACCGCCATCGAGCTGCTCGTTGAAATTGGGGTTGGCGAAGAAATCGTACGAGGCTTGTGGGTCGAAGAGCGCTTGGTTGGCTTTGAGGATGCTTTTCCATCCGCCTTGGACTTGCTCGGCGCGGCCGTTGCTGAAGTATGTGTCCCATTCTTCTTGCACGAATTGACGGCGACGGGTGTATGCAGAGGAGGGGTTGAGCGGGATCATGTGGATACCCTCGATGTATTCGATGTTTCCGCCAAAGTAGGTGGTGTGGTCGATTTTGTTCTCGAAGAGGATGCCGGTGGCTTTGTTCTTAATGAAGCCGGCGGGTTGGTTCTTGTTGTCGGCTTCCATGAGGAAGTAGTTCTTGATACTACGGGCTTGAACTGCGAGTTGCAGGTTTCCTCGTGCCTCCATGTTTGCGTCTTGAATGATTCGGCCCCACATCTTGAGTGCGTAGGTGGCAAAGGTATCTTCTGAGGTCGACTCTTGGTCTTTGCCGTCGCCGGATTCGTAGAGGCCTTTTGCCCAGGAGTGGCCGTGGAACCAGTCGAAGGAGCGCTGGAAGGGGAATTCCGAGTCGCTTACGGGGTTTGCAAAGTCGCGGACGAGATTGTTGACCCAGGCTTTGTTGCTGCCTTCGCCGAGCCATGTAGGGTCGAGATGGCCGATTACGGCAGCGGTGTAAACGAAGTACCCGTAGTGGAAGTGGTGATCGTTGTATAACGTGTTTCCAAAGTCTAAACCGAGGTCTCCAGAGTAACTGGCGCGTGAGACGACACCCTTCCAAACCTGGTCGTAGACGAGTGGCTCAGGCTGCGTATTGTTGACGAAGACGTTGAAAGCGTCCTTGAGGCGGCCTAGACCAGCAGAAGCATATTGGCTGTTGCCTGTCATGCTGTTCATTGTATAGATGATGGCAGCAAACTTGGCCAGACCTTTGCCGGAGTAGTACATGCTGTTAAGTGAGGTCTGCGGAATCATGTTCTGGCTTAGCTCAGCTATGCCAGCTTGGTTGATGAGCGCGAGCGCCTGGGCGTTCAGATTGATGTTCTCCGAGCCCCCAGCTGCGCTGGGGTTCTTGGCCCAAGGGGCAAACCCAATACTGTCGGGCAGGTCGTTCTCCACCATTGTCATCTTGTCGGCAACAATAGCTCGTGCAAAGCCTTTCGTCGTGGTGACTAGTGTGATGTCTTTCAGGGCGGCCGCAGTTTGTTGATCGAACGACTCGACATGATGAGGTAGCGCGTACATCAGCAACGGTCGCTCTGTTGCACCGCCTTTGGCCCAATTTATTGTGTAACTCCCGAAAGCCCCGTTGACGTTCCCAGATATACTGGCATTGACTGGGTACACACCGGCGCTATTGTCAAATATTCCCTCTACTGCCGTGCCTGATGGATTCTTGGTGACTTGGATCTTGCCGACAAAATCGGAAGGGCCGGTGATGGTCTCGCTATTCTCCAACACGAAGGGAGGTGTACCAACAGACCCGTCCGAAGTGGCATAGAGAAGCCAGTGCGACCCATCATTGAGCACGATCCGATACTTGTGCGTAATACCATTGATCAGCGCAACGTATTCCAGGGACAAGAAGAAAACAGTGGTCTTGATAACTGGTGTCGCTCTGTCGTAAACGGCTGTCATCATGCCCATGCCCTGAACAACAGGAAGAGACATCATGATGCGGGTACCCTGGAGGTTGTTTGGTCGCAAGTTCACATATGTGGAGAAGGCCCCCAAACGTGAAAGGGAGAGATATGTATCCGCCTTTAGCTCTTTTGCGGACAGTATGATGTGTTGGATACCGAGCGGTGAGATGAAGAACCGAGTGTCATCAGCATTTGGAACAAAAGCAAATCTGTCCCGAGTTGTGTGACTAATGGCAATACCTGAGATGGGTAGAAGTTCATGTCAGTATGCGTCTGACATCCGCGTATGTTTTTACGTACCGTTTGGGCCACCATCGCTTCGGCGAGCCCACGATAGAGAGTAAGGGTGTGTCCAGGTCGGGAAAGATTGGCTGCCAAGGAAGAAGTTGGCATAGAACTTGTTCGTCTGAGCCGGTACGTCTCTGTCGTCGATGTTCTGTCTCTGAACGGGGTGATCCGCTCTGGAAGGAATAGCCGATGGAATTACTGCGCTCGCAATAGATTGGAAGATGTTTGACGAAGCTGGATTGAAAGGTGCTGTGGGACCAGGCTCAAGGGGCGTTTCATCGGGGCACAGTGGCTTGGTGGCTGTTGTAGTTCCCGGGCCATCAACTGGATCTTTAGTGAAACCACCTGAAGGAAGGCCCGTCAAAAAGCTCTGGTGATTGTCAGATTCTAAATGTTCAGGGATGTCGCGGAATCTGTGGACTCGTTACGTACGCCAGTATTGGATGGTTCCACAGTGGGAGAAGCCGACTGCAACGATGTGATAGCTGTGCTATAACTTGTAGTGACCGACACATCTGTCAAGGTAATCTCGCGAGCTGCCACCTTAGCTGGACCTCTTCTTGCTGCTTCTCCCGCTGGCAGACTGCGGACGGAAGATGAGAGATAGAACAATGCCAGTAGGAAGGGTGTCAGCTTCGCCATGCTGACAGCCGAAGGTATATGGGTGAATGCCAAGTTAAGACAGGGATGGTACTCCAAACAAGGTAAGGTACACGAATGTCCTCAATATGTAGGTTCGATGAAGGAATGTTTCGAGCGATGGACAGTGACCCGGTAAAGACTGCCTTGCTGCAGGGCAAGGCAAGCTATATAACCTGGGAAAGTAAGCCATGAGGCACAGGACCCGTAGGGTTAATTACCGGGACATGGTCGTCCATATTCAGTATAGGAAGGTCGGTTTGCCCATCTAAGACATCGACCCAAGACGTGAAGGGTGGATACTCCAAACGCGGGGAGATTACCCAAGTGAGTTCCTCGGAAAGTACATGCACTCGCCTGGTAGCACACAGGGCTCTCGGGTACCTGAAGCCTCACCCCACCAAAGGTCTCGCGACCAGCTCATCGGGTGCTCGAGCGCACAAATCGACCGTGGCGCCCGGGTCTTCCCATAATGCTTTTACTAGTAACCCTTAACGCATGTTGATATACGTTCTTGCCTCAGACAACGGATATGTGGACTTCAGGTAGTCGATGATGATACGGCAGGGTGTTCGGCGCAATAGCGGTAAGATTACACACATCGAGAAGCTACACGTTTGTCAGTAGATGCATACAGTATGGCTTCCATACATGTGGTATCGTGGATTCTTCGCATGACCAAACAACGTGCCCCTAACGATTTCAGACCTATTCAAGGGTTAGTAAGGAAGAGCTAAAGCCCGGCGCAGGTCTCCTAAAGCGTTTGTGGGTGGTTCCGAATGATAGCACGGTGCGCGCGAGGCTGACTGCTCCGACGGTAGACGTAAGACCATATACTCTTGGTAGAGGAGAAGAGGGATGGGAAGGCGGCACTTGACCTGCGTGTTTGACACAGTATTTCCCAACTTGGTGTGGTACTTCAGCCGCATGATCATCGGAGCAAGGTATGTTGATTGAGATGTGTGAAGAAGATGATATAGAGATCTGACCTCTTGTCAAGTAAAGTGGCAGTGCTACTATGCGTTCCATAGCTGGAGTCCGTCCGTCCAAGAGGTTTGGCATCGTCGCAGCACGCTCGTGATGCGATCCTCGGTGCGGCACGACATATCCAACAGATGCAGATGCTGCCGACATGGCTGGGAAATTGTCGGGCGCAAGAAGCGTCAAACACGAGATCTTAGACTACCGAAGCCAGCGCCGGGGTCTCGGTTATCGGTCTCGAGACCACGGTGGGACACGCGCCATCCGTCCCTGTGGGGAATTCTGCAGTGTGACAAGCGCACATGGTGGAGAGACGAGGCTGGTGTGCGCTCATCGATATCTCGAAAGGCTCCCCCGGAGGTCGCGCATGTTTCTCAGGCTTTTGCATGATGTGTGGCAAAGCCATCAAGTTGGTGCAGATTGGTGATGCATGGGAAGGTGGCGAAGATCACATGCAAGAAGCACATCGGAGATGCTCCATCATAGCTCCGTTGGGTGCACGGCCACATTGACGTCACGAACCTTGACGCCACTTCCTCTATCAAACGATGCTACTACGTTTACATACACTGTAACAGCCTTCAATCTACCCACCTATAAGCCCTACTACCTCAAATTGAAGACATCGTCTGCAAAGAAATACGAAGAAACTCCCTCTACTCTCTGTACCACCTCAAGCCTCCACAATGGCTTCATCACATCCCAACGAGCCACCACCCAGCTACGAAGCCGCCATCTTCGACGCCGAACCCTCCCAAGGCATCCACCGCGTCTCCACCGACGGCCCTGCAGCCCGCACCGAACGCAATGGCATCCCACCCGAGCGCCGCCGCTCCATGGAAGACGAGATGCGCGCGCTCCCCGATGGCTGGGTCCGTAGTTTCGACCCAGAGACCTCCCACCAATTCTTCGTCGACACCAAAGCCGATCCTCCACGTAGCATATGGACGCACCCCTACGACGATGAGCAGTACCTCAACACCTTAACTCCCGAAGAGCGTAAGAAGCACACGCGCATGCACCGAACCATGACACTGGAGGACCTCACAGCTGAGGACTCGGATGCCGAAGACCAACTCCCTCCCCGACCCACATCGAAGGGTAAAGGCGCTGCGGCGCCTGGTGAACCGACTGGAATACATAAGTTTTCGAGGAAGCTGAAGGACAAGATCACGGGTCAGACGCATGAGCAGCGTGAACAGTCTCGCTCTCAACGGGCGGAGCAGGAACGGCAGGCGTATCTTCAACATCTGCGTACAAGGCAGGCTCTGATACGTGCTATGGAGACGGGGCAGCCGCAGTTGCTAGGCAAAGACCGCCAGGGCAGGGATGTTTATATCGAGCCGCCTCATGGACCGTATGCTCCACGAGGAGCGTATGGATATAATCCGTATGGTGCACGCCACTTTGGAAACCCTGGTGTGAGGTATATGCGTCCTGCTGGACCGTACGGTAGGCCGTATGGGTACGGTTATGGTGGTGGTGCTGGTCTGCCTATCGCAGCTGGTTTCCTTGGTGGTGCTATGCTGGGTGGTGCGTTATTCTAGTGAGGGAAAGCATGGAGACTTTGACGAGTTTTCTCTTTTGTACATGAAATATCCCTAGTAACGATTAACGAATAACAATGATTGTATCATCGTCTCTCTGCTCGTGAATAAGGATGTAGTGTATCATTGTATAGTCCAAATTGCTGAGGCGAAAACATGGGGTATCATATTGCAACTCCTAGCCTAACTTCAAATCACATTCTTAACCACTTCCAATTCATCTCAAACCAGATATGTCTCTCGACATGGATGTAACACGATCCTCAAGCTCCTTCTTCTTCCTCTCAAGTTGACGCGTCTCCTCTTCCTCTCGCCGAAGGTCTTCCTCTGTCAACACAACTACTGGCTCGGGCTCCTCTTCGAGCTCATCCACATCCTCCTCCGCGTAGTCACCTCGTGAGCGGTTCAGCTTGCCGAGCTGAGCTTGTTGTTCGGCAAGTCGGTTTTCGTAGTATTCTAGCGAGGCGGAGACTTGGGCGTGTCGTTGGCGCATGGCTGCGATTTTGTCGTGGACGCCTGGTATGGGGCTGTCTTTCATTAGTTGGGGATTACATGTCTGACGTCGATTGAGACGTACTAGACTCCAAGAAGCTTCTCGGCGCCTTCTAACAGAGACTCCACGTCGATCTCGTTCTTGTTGCTGCCGTTGTACATTCTGTAGCCGAGACCTGAGCCTGCTCCGCCTCCACCGCCTCGACGTATCCTCTCTACTAGCTCATTGCCGAGAACTGCTGCTACAGCTGTGTTGCGCCTTGGTGCTCTTACAGCGTTTGCACCGCCGCCGCCTGTGCTGGTGCTGCCGCCTCCATTAGGGTTGAAGATGGTGTTGCGCCTGTTGGTAGACGGAGCTGGTTCGGCATGCTTCGGGGCTGCGGGTGGCGGAGGGACGGAGAATAGCGCGCGTTCGTGAAGTTCAGTGTCTCGAATCAAGCTCGTAATATCGTGGTTTTGCAGTAACGCGTTGGTGAAGATCTTGGGCGGGGCGAACCTGGGGGTGTTCAGTCGGAAGCTTTCGAGGGTGAAGGACGGGAGACGCACGGCAACTCCGCAATTGACGCTGCGCAGAGCGAGATCTGCTCTAGGTGTGCATCCAGAAGCGCCATGCCGAGATAGAGCGTATGTCGAGTATGCTGGGGTGACGCGGGGGTCAACAAGGGCGCGTCGGTGCTCGATAACTATTCCCCGATGTTCCGCCGCGCTGGCGTCAGTGAAGCTGGGAGCTCAACCTCCGCAAAGCATCAACACCACCCTCACCACCTACCACTCCCCCCATAAACACCCGCACCTTCCGTCCCCCCACCTACACGTCAAGAGCGACCATCATGGCGGACAGCATGGAAGGCGTCGTCGTCGAGGGCGAGCAGCCCAAAACCGAGAACGTCGAGCAGAAGGCGATTGCTGGTAAGTAGTCAACATGCCTTTTACCTCAAAGTGCCCCTGCACCAACTGCACCACCTCGTGGCCGGTCCGCAAGATGTGCCCCAGTCACATCATCGCCACCGAGGTCGCGGCGTGCAAGTATCTGTACCAGCGTGCTGATCCGACGACGACAGACATCCGCAGCAACTTTGTGCTCCTCGAGCGAGCCGTCGCCCAGTTCGATACCCGCTTCACTCTACGCGCCCTCCGCTCCATATCGTCGCTCCGCAAGAGGCTCACCGACCGCGTGCTATGCTCCGTCATCATCCTGACGTACTCGCCCAACAACGCCACGGCGCGCAACTTCATCGAGTATATTGGCATGGACGGCGAGGCGATACAGAGCGTCGTCTCCCAGTACAAGGAGGAGGTGCAACTTAACAAGAACAACACCAAGGAGCCCCTGCCCGAGGTGGACGTATACATAGCCATTCTGATACAGGTATGTTTGGTGACGGTAGCAACAATGCCAATTCTGACAAGCGCAGGTATATCTCTATGATCAGAAGGAGTTTGAAGAGGGCGCCGAGTTCGCCGAGACGCTGGTAGACAAGATCCGAGAGCTCAACAGGCGGACGCTGGACTCGTTAGCAGCCAAGGCCTACTTCTACTTCTCCCTCTTCCACGAGGAGATGGACCCCAAGCCCCCGTCCAAGCAGTCGCCCGTCATCAACATCCGCGGAAAGCTGCTCGCCGCTCTTCGAAGCGCCGTGCTCAGGAAAGACCCAGACACGCAGGCGTCCGTCACCACCCTGCTGCTCCGAAACTACCTCTCTACCGCCGACATCACACAAGCCGATCTCCTCGTTGCGCAGACACAATTCCCACCAAACGCCCCCAACAACCAGGTCGCGAGGTACCTGTACTACCTTGGTCGCATACGGGCTATCCAGCTGTCTTACACCGAGGCACATGAGCATTTGATCAGCGCCACCCGCAAGTCGCCTTCTGCCCACTGCGCAACTGGCTTCTACCAGGCCTCAATGAAGCTCCTGGTAGTCGTTGAGTTGCTGATGGGTGATATCCCCGAGCGCGATGTCTTTAGCCAGCCCCGTC